GCAACTTAAATAATTATATTTAACTTAAATATTTAGCTAGCTACCTAAATAATTAGGTTGCAACTTAAATAATTATATTTAACTTAAATATTTAGCTAGCTACCTAAATAATTAGGTTGCAACTTAAATAATTATGTTGCAACTTAAATATTTAGCTAGCAACCTAAATAATTAGGTTGCAACTTAAATATTTAGGTTGCATCTTAAATAATTAGGTTGCAACTTAAATATTTAGCTAGTAAGTTAAATATTTAGGTAGTTAGCTAAATGTTTATGTTACAGCCTAAATATTTAGGTGGCTAGCAAAATATTTAACTTTGCTAGCTAAATATTTATGTTGCAAGCTAAATATTTAGGTAGCTAGCTAAATATTTAAGTTTCAAGCTAAATATTTAGCTCAAAAGTAAATATTTAAGTCACAAGTTAAATACTTAGCTTGTTAACTAAATAATTTGTATGTTAAATATTTTGTTTATAAACTATGACATAATAATGTACGGTAAAAAACTGACTGAAAAATAAATTATTTTTTCTTATAAAAGGCTAAATAAAACAAAAATATTGGTGATAATTTTTGACTGTGTAACTTTTCAAACGGCACCCCATACAGCTACATTCATTTTGAGTTTACTCCGAGTATTGAGTGAAGTGTCCCTGCTGGTCCACTAAACAGAGATTTTGAACTGCTTTAAAATACTGTATAATAAATAAATAGAATTCTAAAGTTAGAATTTTTAATTAGAAAATATTTTAAATGATTAAAACATCTCTATTATATGCTACAGCAATAAAGATAAATTTAAATGAATTTAAATGGTTAAATTGTGGCTGAACAACAGTCCTGATTTTAGGAGGTAAAACCATGATTAATGCACAAAAACTCACCTTTTCCCTGCAGAGAGTCTCCTTGAATTAAAGCTCAGGTGTTCCCATGAAGAAGGATGAACTGTTTTGTTTTCTGCGAGTCGCAGCAGAATCAGAGTCTGGATGTTTGAGGATGAGCTGCGTCTCGTCTGTCTGCAGCCGTGTGACGTGCACCTGAGTGTCTGCAGGTTTTCCATCAGCCCTCCTGGGAGGGGACAGGATCAGGGTGGACCCAGGCTCAAGGAGGGGCCAGGATCGGGAAGGGCCCAAGATCAGGGAGGAACCAGGAACAGGGAGGGGCCAGGACTTGGAAATCAGGACAACTGCACTGACAGAAGCCCGGACTAGATAAAGTTTCAGAGTTCAGCAGTGCAACGCTCCACAGTAAGCTACAGCAACAACAACCACCTCAGTTTGTTGTTAGTTCACAGGATGGACACCATAAATACCAAACAGGAGATTAATTGATTGTTTTACCCAGCAGCTGCAGTGATTTTCTAACATCTACTTGTCTTTTTGTTTAATATATTATTCCAGGGTGGGTTTTTCTTTCAGTTATCATTTGATGACAGTCAGGTGTATCAGGGTATCATCTGCATACATGTGATACAGGAGCCCCGTTTCAGAAAGCAGGATAAGTGGAAATCCTGTAAGTTCTGGGGAAACTATGTGCATATCCTGGGTTTTATGGTTTCAGAAARTCATACAGCAGTTATCCTGAGTTAACGTACCCCCACAACCAACACTGCTCTGTWGCAGGATTACTGGAACATATCCTGAGCTAGTCTGACCTTTTAGCTGAGGTCCGGCATGAGGAAAGTGTCAGACACGGTGTGTCCTTWAAGGAGCCTGTAGATGTTGCAGCGTAATAATCCACAGAGATTCATGTAGAGAGAGTGATAAGACTAAAATTAGACGTCAGGTCATTTCTGGATGAAAATCTGAGAATTTGATGTGAATGTTTTTATTTACTCAGGTTTCAATCTTTTCCTTCAAGTACAGCTTGTAGCTGTTTCACAGGAAGATTTAGGGATAGAAAGATGTTAATATTTAAGTTACATTTCCCTCTTATGACGTTATGATCAAAGGTTTAAATTGTTACAGAAGTATTTATTCTTCTTTTTTGTATTGTGTGTATTTATATAATTTATTTTGTTTGTTAAAACAAATAAACTTATATATATACAGTATATATAC